ACAACGGACTCTGAGGAAATCAAGAGAATCATCAGGGCATACTTTGAAAATCTGTACTCCACAAAATTTGAAAATTTAAAGGAAATGGACAATTTCCTGGATAGATATCACTTGCCAAAACTAAATCAAGAACAGATAAATAATCTAAACAGACCTATAACCCCTAATGAAATAGAAGCAGTCATCAAAAGTCTCCCAAACAAAAAAAGCCCAGGCCCAGATGGCTTCAGTGCAGAATTCTACCAGAAATTCAAAGAAGAGCTCATTCCAATACTCGTCAAAGTATTCCACACAATAGAAGCAGGGGGCTCACTGCCAAACTCTTTCTACGAGGCTACAATTACCTTGATACCCAAGCCACACAAAGATACAACTAAGAAAGAGAACTATAGACCAATTTCCCTCATGAACATTGATGCAAAAAGACTCAATAAAATACTTGCAAACCGGATTCAAGAACACATCAGAAAAATCATCCAGCATGATCAAGTAGGCTTCATTCCAGGAATGCAGGGATGGTTCAACATTAGAAAATCTATCAATGTAATCCACCATATTAACAATCTGCGAAAGTTAAACCACATGATCATCTCACTAGATGCTGAAAAAGCCTTTGACAAAATCCAGCACCCCTTCATGATAAAGGTCCTAGAGAGATCAGGGATAACAGGAACGTACCTGAATATAATAAAAGCAATATACAGTAAACCAACAGCTAACATCAAACTAAATGGAGAGAAACTCAAAGCAATTCCTCTAAAATCAGGAACAAGACAAGGCTGTCCACTCTCTCCATATCTCTTCAATATTGTACTTGAAGTTCTAGCTACAGCAATAAGACAACAAAAGGAGATAAGGGGGATACAAATAGGAAAAGAAGAAGTCAAACTTTCATTATTTGCAGATGATATGATAGTTTACATAAGTGACCCAAAATACTCCGCAAGGTTACTCCTAGAGCTGATAAACACCTTCAGCAATGTGGCAGGATACAAGGTAAACTCAAAAAAATCAGTGGCCCTATTATATACAGATGATGAAGTGACTGAGAAAGAAATCAGAGAAACATCACCTTTTACAATAGCCAAAAACAGCATCAAATATCTGGGGATAATGTTAACCAAGGAAGTGAAAGACCTGTATATCAAGAACTTTGTGTCTTTGAAGAAAGAAATCAAAGAAGATACCAGAAAATGGAAAGATCTCCCATGCTCTTGGATTGGTAGGATCAACATAATAACAATGGCAATTTTGCAAAAAGCAGTCTATAGATTCAATGCAATCCCTATCAAAATTCCATCACAATTCTTCAAGGACCTGGAAAGAACATTAATCAACTTTATATGGAAAAACAAAAGGCCCAGGATAGCCAAAACATCCCTATACAATAAAGGAACTTCAGGAGGCATCACCATACCTGACTTCAAGCTCTATTATAGAGCTATAGTCCTGAAAACAGATTGGTATTGGCACAAACATAGGCAGGTAGACCAATGGAACCGAATCGAAAGCCCTAATTTTAACCCACACACCTATGAACACCTGATTTTTGACAAAGAAGCTAAAACTGTACAGTGGAAAAAAGAAAGCATCTTCAACAAATGGTGCTGGCATAACTGGGTACTGGTATGCAGAAGACTGCAGATAGATCCATGTTTATCGCCTTGTACAAAACTTAAGTCCAAATGGATCAAAGATCTCAACATACATCCAGCCACACTGAAACTTTTAGAAGAGAAAGTGGGAGATACTCTTCAACGAGTTGGTACAGGAGACCACTTCCTAAACATAACACCAGTGGCACAGGCACTGAGATCGACAATTAACAAATGGGACCTTCTGAAACTAAAAAGCTTCTGTAAGGCAAAGGACACAGTCAAAAAGACAAAAAGGCAGGCCACAGAATGGGAAAAGATATTCACTAACCCTACATCTGACAGAGCGCTAATCTCCAAAATTCACAAAGAACTCAAGAAACAAGTCTCCAAAACACCAAAGGATCCACTTGAAAGGTGGGGTACAGAGCTAAACAGAGAATTCTCAGTAGAGGAGGCTAAAATGGCCAAGAGACACTTAAGAAAGTGCTCAACATCCTTAGCCATCAGGGAAATGCAAATCAAAACAACTCTGAGATACCATCTTACTCCTGTCAGAATGGCTAAAATCAAAAACACCAATGACAATTTATGCTGGAGAGGATGTGGAGAGAGAGGAACACTCCTCCACTGCTGGTGGGAATGCCGACTCATACAGCCTCTTTGGAAATCAGTATGGAGATTCCTCAGGAAAATGGGAATTAATCTACCACCAGACCCAGCAATTCCACTCTTAGGCATTTATCCAAATGAGGCAGGTTCATATAACAAGGGCATCTGCTCCACTATGTTCATAGCAGCATTGTTTGTAATAGCCAGAACTTGGAAGCAACCTAGATGCCCCTCAACTGAAGAGTGGATAGAGAAAATGTGGTACATTTACACAATGGAGTATTACTCAGCAGAAAAAAAACAATGGAATCTTGAAATTCGCAGGGAAATGGATAGCACTGGAAGAAACCATCCTGAGTGAGGTAACCCAGTCGCAAAAAGACAAACATGGTATGTACTCACTCATATATGGATTTTAGATATGGATCAGGATAGTGCCAGTCTGCACTTCCACAGATAGAGAGTCTGGGAAACAGGAAAGAACCTAAAAGATATGCATATATGCATAGTACTCAAGAGAAGAGGATTGAGACAAGATCCTCTGAATGGATGGGGAACACGGCGAGGGGTGGGGGGGAGTGGGACCTGGGAAGAATAGAGGGGGTAAAGAGGAAGGGAGTTGGTCATGGGGGAACAGGAAGTTGAGGGGGTGGGGGTAGAATAGGGGGAAGAGGGAATCATAGGATAGAAGACAGATCAGGCACCAGAGGGACCTCGAGTGATCTAAAGGTATAACATCAATTGGCAAGCTAAGCAATAGTGGAGGGACCACCTCGAATGCCCATTCCTGATAATGAACTTGCTGTCTATAACCATCCGGGAGCCTTCATCCTGTGACTGATGGAAGCAGAGGCAAACACACAACTAAGCACTGAACTGAACCCAAGGAACCCAGTGACAGAGAGAGAGGAGTGATGAGCAAATTGGCAAAGAATGGGCTGGCAAAACCAGCAGAGACAGCTGATCTGAACAGGGGAGTGCTCTTGGACCCCAGACCGACAGTGGGGAGGCCAGCATGGGACTGATCTGGACCCCCCAAATGTGAGTGTCAGTGAGAAGGCCTGGGCAACCTATGGGGCCCTGAGCTGTGGATCAGTGTCTATCCGTGGTATACAAACTGTCTTCATGTGCCTATAGCACAAAGAGAGATGCTCTCTCAGCCTGGACTCTTAGGGGAGTGCCTTGACCCTACCAAGAGTAAAATAACAGACTCTAGATATCCCCTATGTGGAAGGATTTGGCAATAGGGTGGGAGGGAGGGGGGAAAGGGGAGTGCGGGAAGAGGGGAGGGAGAGGGAACTGGGATTGACATGTAAAACAAGCTATTTAAAATTAAAATAAAAAATGATAAAAAAATCACTTACTTCTCGGGATACGGTAAATGCTATTACATAACACGTATTATATATGCTACACATATTGTATAACCCATCATGACAGTTTCCTCCACCTTGTACTGTTAAAGGTATCTTTTGTGAGAAAGCTCCTTGTTGCACCACGATATACCTGGGCAATGCACTGTAAGTGAGATGCATGTAGTAAAGCTGACAAAATCTTGCAAATTTCAATGGCAAAGAAATGACTGTTCCCTTTCGTGGTAAAGGACACTGGTGAAGACGCAAGACAGAGCTACTGTGTGACAAGGACATGAAGAGAAGTTTCTGCAATCCAGCTATGAAACAAAGAGTGCATCTCTCCTGGGTGCTGTGTCAATGACATGCCAAATGCTCTGACTCTCTCCTCTATGCATGGTCAGCTTGCTGTGAAGGCAATAAACAATTCTAAGTCTCAATGACTAAGAAACATTCACTTCTCGATTGTGAGTATTGGCCATGGCTCTGGTAGGCATGACTGTGTTCCTGATAACTGCTAGTCTTGATTTGAGATCTGTATCACATGTGAAGCCCATTGTGATACCCATAATTCACTATTATGCTGAGACCCAGGTGAAAAATTACAATCTAAACATGCTGTCTTTGGAAAAGGTACAAGCAAGAGAGCCATGGACTTCTGGGAGCCAAAAGGAAACCTGCACTTCCACTCATACTGCTTTGGGTGATTGCAAGTCACAAGCCAAGTGGGTCTGGAGGACAAAAAGAGGTCAGGAGAGAGAAGAGGAGTTGCTGAATCACATACAACTTTTATTCTCATAAAAGTTTAATCTGGAGAAAGGACAAGCCTAGCACTGTATGAATTTTGGAGCGCCAGTCAGGTGTTTTGCTTTAAACCCACAAGAACTAAAACTGATGAGCTATGTAAATAGGAAGAGCAAAGGGAAAAATGGGTATAAATTGATTTCCACTCAAGAGAGAAGCCATCATTTTAATAAGCACTTTCCCTAGTAGGCCTAGAATAATTGTGAAGGTTGTATTAAGGAGTCAGGCTGACATAAATCTGGTGTGTGTGTGCGTGTGTGTGTGCGTGCGTGTTCGGGTACGTGTGTAAGTTACAGGCTTAAATGTCTACATATGCTTTTGAAAATGAATACCAAAATCATTCTTTAACATACTGGTAAATTCAGCTCTTCAAGTGTTCCTTAATTTTTAATTTTATGTCATGATTTTATCATATTAATTGCCAATGATATTTATCCAAAATATTTGTTTAATAAACTTAACATTTTGTGGTACTTAAAATCTCTGTATAAATGCAAAAAGTTTGCCTCTTATAACATTTCAAGAGACCATAGAAAAGTTTTCAATCATTCAGCATATATTTTAATTTTCAGTACACATAGCATCAGGAAATTTTAATCAAGAAAGTCTTCAAAATGATTTCAAAACAGAGGAAAACTTTAATTCCATAGTTTTTATTACTCTGAAGAGTAAATTTCTTGAAAGCAAATATAAAGTAACAGGAAGAGCTGCTTAGCCAGTAAGCATTGATTGCATGTTCTTCTTGTTTCCATTATTGTCACCTTTCTGATGAAACCTATCCATAAAGAAATTACACATAAATTACAAAATTTATACTCAAGTATTTTTATCAAACTCAATCCCCTCCAGCTTTTATTCCCTTTAATGTCTCTCTCAAGTCACCTCTGTTAACAGACACCATTTAATTTCATGTGTTCTCACCATCTGCCACCCCTATCACAAATATGATTTTTTCAAGGTGACCCATAAAGTAGAAATAAAAAGATGGGTGTGAATCATTGTTGGAGTGATCATTTGCTACAACTGCCACAACAAAGCACCAGCCATGTGGCTTAAACAGGAGGTTTTGTTTTGTTTTCTTTCTCAGTTATAGGCTAGAAGGACAAGATTGGAGTGTTGGTTCCTACTGAGGGTCTCCCCTTGCCTTGTGGCTGCCTGTCCTCTTGGTGAGACTTCACATCAACTGTCACTTTGTGTAAAACCTTCCTTTGAATTTCTATTTGTGTCTTAGTCTCCCATTAGATTGGATGAGGGCCTATTATACTGGATTAATTTTGTCACAATTACCCATTTAAAGGCCTTATCACCAGTATTTATACATTCACATAAGCAATTTGGGATTAAGGTTTTACATATGACTCTGAAGAAAACAAAATCCAGCTCATAGCCCTTAGGTTTAACAGAAAATGAATGAAGACACTAGTCACAGACAGAAATATATCAACATTTGCATCACACCCGATAGGAAACGAATCATTCACTAGTAAGTCCATGTTTCCAACATTTCAATGAATTGAAAAGAGTTCAAGTTAATTGTAAAACAAATAACTAAATACTATTCAATCATGTGAGACAGTGCCACTCTGTTTTGTTTGCCCATGTTCCCCAAATCCAGCTAAGAGTCTTGCAAGGCAAACTGCCACTGAGCTGTATCCCCAGGTCCAATTTCACTTACTGTTTTAAAAAACATGTCTGTATTTCCATTCTTAATATGTCTGTCATAGAACAAGGGAGTGATGAAACACAGTATCTACCTATTAAAGTATATTACTCCAGCAGTAAAAATCACAATAACATGATCCTTATCATGTATAGTTGAATTTGATTTACAAGTATTTGATTGAGAAGTTTTACGTCCATATTCATTGGGGAGATTGGCCTACAATGGTTTTTGTTTCTTTCTTTGACACAAGGCCTTACCATGTAGCCTTGTCTGAAGTAGAACTCACTCTGACCAGATTGGCCTCAAACTCATAGCGATCAACCTGCCTCTGCCTACCAAGTGCAAGGACTAAAGGCATGTTCCACCATACACAGTCTGGCCCATAGAGTTGTCATCTGTTGTACTCTTGTCTGGTTTGGTATAGTGAAGTATTTCCTTTGTGGATGGTTTCTGCCAAGATGCCTTCCCTATCTGATGTATGGAATAACTGAGAAGCATTGGTGTTAGTTCTTCTTTACAAGTCTAGTAGAACTGAGTGGCAGATTCATCTGCATTTGGGATTTTGTCAGAAGAGAAACTTTAGTATCATTGTAGGTTATAGGTACATTTAGGTTGTTTATAGCTTCTTGGTTTGAATTTAGTAGGTCCACAAGCATTTATTTCTTTTATATTTTTCAATTTATAAACCACAAAATTTGTAAGTGTGCCTCAGTAATACACTGAATACCACTGTTGGTTAATAATCTCTCCCTTTCCATCTCTAATCTTAATAATTGGGTCTTCTCGAGCTCAACTTTTTATCCTGTTTGACTAGGAACTTTATTTGTCATCTACTTTATGTCACCTACTATAAAATGGGTGTGATTGAAAATTATAGTAAAATAAATCACATACAAAAAGGTAATAGTGTTTCCATTCATCTGTTGGTTCAAGAATTCTTTAGTAATACATAAAATGGTGTGTGTGTATAAAATGTAAGACAGAAGACAGAGTGGAAGACTGGAAGAGATAATCAGGAGTGGAGAGAGAGAGAGGACTAAAGGGAAGGAATGGTAAGGGGAAAAATTTAATCAAGGTATATGAGAGAAGTAGCTTTATCAAACTCAACACTATATAAATTCAATATGTGCCAATAAATACCCAACACAAAATAAACACTAAGCAAATATCAATTGTTTATGCCACAAACCATAAAGAATCAATGAAATGTTTTTAAAGTCTTTTGATTAAAATAAAATTAACACCTGATTATTCTCCACAGTGATTCAAAAAATGTTATTAAAATGAAAACAAAGGTCTGAGTAGGTAACTCAGAAAGTGTTTGCCTTACAAGTAAGAGGACCTGAGGTCAATCCCTAGAATCCAAATAAGAAGGGAAACATAGTAGCCTTCTTGGCCAGCCAGTATAGCCTAAGTGGTTAGCACCAGGCCAATGAGAGACCCTATGTGAAGATTTTGCTTCTCACCTCCTTACATGTACATATGCACCAACACACATACATTCACTTACACACACATGATAAGCACACACAAAAAAACTAGGTGAAAGGAGACAGAACAAACCTATAGCCTACAAATAGGGAGGATGTGAAATTGGAATCAGAAACTCAAACTAAATAGAGAGTTTGAGATTGGCCTGAGCAACATAGAAAGACAAACAAAAAGACACAGAGAGAAGATAAAGAAGCAGAGAGAGAGAGAGAGAGAGAGAGAGAGAGAGAGAGAGAGAGAAGAAAGTACATAGAAAATTGGAGGAGAGGGAGAAAAAGAAGAGACCAAGAAGAGGGAGAAAAATCCATGAATAATTTGAATTTTCCTCTAAATAATATTTTAAATAGTATATATTACTTATAGCTGAAGAAGTATTTCACTTCATTAGCTATAATCTAAATCTCAGCGTATTGAACCGTATTATCTCATTGACTATTAGAAATCAGAATACATGTTTACACATGTAAATCCTTTGTCTTGTAAGTCATGAGAATGTACTTCAGAGTTCTGAGACATCAGATTCAAGTCATGTAGCATAATGATAATGATAAATATTCATAACATACATTCCTCAGAAAAGACAGACATAATGAAAGGAAATGAGTACATTCACCGCCTGTTCTTCAGCTGTACTAATTATATATTTTATTAATGATTAAGAGAAACCCTATTCTGGCATATTTCACATTCCCATGCCACTGTAGCTCCAACTGTCACTCATTAAACACAGAAATCTTACATTGATTCAATAAATGGAGGAAATAAAGATCTCTAGGCACATAATTGCAGAGTTTATATGTGATTTTCCCTGTTTATTAGCCTATAAAACTGTGTTTAGGGGGGGTTCATTCTACAGACCTCAAGATCCTACTTTACATTAAAAGGTATAAAGATCACTTACTTAGTAAGGACACTTAAAGAAGCATAGTCCTCAATTGTAAGTCCATAAATATCTTTGCGAGATACGCCCTTAGCTCGTTGATGAAGAAGTTTTACAGAACTTGTTGGTTCAGCAGTGATAGCAATCATAATGGCTGTTCTGGAGCAAGACAAATTTAGTTTTCTCAACTTACCATTCAAACTTAAGGTCTCTACGCTTAGGAAGTCAAGAAGGGATGGGAAATGTTGTGTTGGTCTGTTCTAAACTGAACAGCAATCACAGATCATAGAATGGCACCTAAACACGGTCGCCAGGAAACACTAATTCACTGGTTTTCGGTCTCTGCCTCCTTGAAGCCTCCTGCTTTCAAGACATCTCAAAATTCCATGGGAGGGACTGTTGAGCACCCTATATCCCATCTACAGTCAACTACAACACTGGCTTCTATGTAAGATTTCAAAGTTATCATAAATGATGATAATAACTTAAAGCTACCCATATGATTAAGCAGTTTGATTTATAGATTGAAAAAGGAGCATTTGAGACATATAGGTAATTTGTCCCAAATCATACCATACAATTAAAACATCACACAAAGAAATATTTATAACTATGTGTGTTTCATGGTCTCATTAAGCAATTACAATTATGTGGCATCTTATTTAGCTTTACTTATTATACCTGTACCTGTATTTGTTATCTGATGCATTAACATCTGCTCCTTTCTCTTCAAGGAATTCTAACATATTTTCATTGTCTGCAGCAACGGCAAGTAAAAATGGAGTGTAGCCATCCTGTAAAAATTATTTCAAACTAATTACTCAAACAGTTTTACTTCTGTGCCCTTTAAGTTTAACTACAATTTTAAAGTATGCTCATAAGAAATTCCTGACTATAAACTCTAATTTTTGAAGTATTTTAATATCTAACAAAAATCTGACTTTGAATTACGGATGGGATACATCTGATTTCTCTTCAGATCGTATAAAAGCCAGATTGTATTCTAGGCTTAATTCAAAGCAAAGGTATAAAGTGATCAAGTCATGAATACTTATCATTTAATGTAAGTTTTCTATATGATTACCTCAAATGTACATAAATTAGATATAATTGTGTTCCAAGGCTATCATATATCATATACACAATGTATCATCAAAATGAAGTGACAAGTTGCTTTAAAAAAATTTTTTTAGTTATCACTACACTTCAAAAGAAGAATTAGAGCTGGGCGTTGGTGGCACATGCCTTTAATCCCAGCACTCAGGAGGAAGAGGTAGGCGGGTATTTGTGAGTTCGAGGCCAGCCTGGTCTACAGAGCAAGTTCTAGGACAGCCTCCAAAACAATACAGGGAAACCCTGTCTCAAGAAGAAGAAGAAGAAGAAGAAGAAGAAGAAGAAGAAGAAGAAGAAGAAGAAGAAGAAGAAGAAGAAGAAGAAGAGGAGGAGGAGGAGGAGGAGGAGGAGGAGGAGGAGGAGGAGGAGGAGGAGGAGGAGGAGGAGGAGGAGAAGAAGAAGAAGAAGAGGAAGAGGAAGAGGAAGAGGAAGAAGAAGAAGAAGAAGAGGAGGAGGAGGAGGAGGAGAAGAAGAAGAAGAAGAAGAAGAAGAAGAAGAAGAAGAAGAAGAAGAAGAAGAAGAAGAAGAAGAAGAGGAGGAGGAGGAGGAGGAGGAGGAGAAGAAGAAGAAGAAGAAGAAGAAGAAGAAGAAGAAGAAGAAGAAGAAGAAGAGGAGGAGGAGGAGGAGGAGGAGGAGCAGGAGAAGAAGAAGAAGAAGAAGAAGAAGAAGAAGAAGAAGAAGAAGAAGAAGAAGAAGAAGAAGAAGAAGAAGAGGAAGAGGAAGAGGAAGAGGAAGAGGAAGAGGAAGAAGAAGAAGGAGGAGGAGGAGCAGGAGAAGAAGAAGAAGAAGAAGAAGAAGAAGAAGAAGAAGAAGAAGAAGAAGAAGAAGAAGAAGAAGAGGAGGAGGAGGAGGAGGAGGAGGAGGAGGAGCAGGAGGAAGAAGAAGAAGAAGAAGAAGAAGAAGAAGAAGAAGAAGAAGAAGAAGAAGAAGAAGAAGAAGAAGAAGAAGAAGAAGAAGAAGACGAAGAAGAAGAAGAAGAAGAAGAAGAAGAAGAGGAAGAGGAAGAGGAAGAGGAAGAGGAAGAGGAAGAAGGAGAAGGAGGAGGAGGAGCAGGAGAAGAAGAAGAAGAAGAAGAAGAAGAAGAAGAAGAAGAAGAGGAAGAGGAAGAGGAAGAGGAAGAGGAAGAGGAAGAAGGAGGAGGAGAAGGAGGAGGAGGAGATGTAGAAGGAGAAGGAGAAGGAGAAGAAGAATTTGGCTACTTTTAGCAATCTTTAGTTCAGCTCTACTACTATTATTGTGCAATAAGAACTTTAAAAGATGGTGTTTATTATTTATATTAACAGTAATTTGTGAAGAACTCAAACACTCTTATCTCGTATGGCCATTTGGGGAATTATCCCTGATGGATATATTTCTTGTCATGTCAGGATGAAGGTCTAAAGTGAAATGCAAGAACTTTAAAGGAAAGAAAACTTTTATCAGATTTTGATAACCTGTTTGTCTCTCAATTCAGTTTAGAAAATTCATCCTCTATATTAAAAAGATAAATTTCTGTTACATGACATAGCCAAAATAAATATGTTGTTCAGTAGTTTTGGGGGGGTTATGAAAAAGATGCAGTCTTTTTATTAGAATTGGAAACAACATTCCTATGAGCACAATTGCTTGAATTACCATTAACGCTATAATGTGACCCAGAACTGAAGGAAAGAGGTGTGCCTCAGAGGATAACAGATGTAAACATAACATTCAAAAGCCATTGTCAGTAGATTATCAGATTCCATCCACTGCAGGGTGTGGGAGAAAAATACCTGGGCTAGGCAGGCATCAAAGGCCATGGAATAAGCCCTGACCAAAACATGGCCAAAATTTGGGGGCAATTGCTGCACAGAGTCCTATGTCTGTAGCTGTCAGCACAGGCTGGAAGGTGTCCACGGGCTGGTACAAGCTACCCTCAGAAGGGATGTTGATCAATAAAATGAGATTTCCCAAAAGAGCCACTAGAAACACTACAAAGAAGGAAAATCCAATCCAAAATGGAATTCCAATCAAGATTACAGTTTTAGGGTTCAGATGTGACATGTCATTGGGTTTCACTGAGCTCAGCATTCTGTCTTCTCAGGACTGACCATGACACCTGAAATTTGTGCTGTAGAAACTGGAAGCACTAACTCAGGCCTGCTGTAGAAGGCTGGGCTCTGTTTTCCTGGGTGTTTGAGAAACAGGCATTACTTCCTCTCAATTTACAGTCCTCTCCTGTGATAGCTCTGAGGCATGAATCCATGTTTTCTTTAATAGAAGCTTACCTTATTTTTAGCTTCAAGGTTGGCTTTGTATTCGAGCAATTTGTTGGCTATTGAGATATTTTTACCACAAGCAGCATAGTGGAGGGCAGTATTACCGTAAAAGTCCACTAAATTTGGGTCTGCACCATTCTGTAGAAGAACAGTGGCACAATTCTCCTGTTGACACTCTACTGCCTATCAATGGAACAACAATAAATGAATCACCAATTTCCTAAGTTTAATGGTACAGCTTAAAGCATGAAAATCAATAAACTTTAACTAGGATAAGTACTCAAACACATTCCACTTAAAGAGAATAATAATGGAACGCACCTTCATCAATGGGGTCCTGTTTTTATTATCCTGGACATTAATTTTGCATTGATGCTCAATTAAGAGACACACAATATCTGCATATCCATTAGCACAGGCCAAATGCAAAGGTGTTCTATATTGGTACAATAAAACATGAAGTTAGAGGTATATCTCAGTTAGTTATTTATTATACCCATCAACAAGTAAAACCAAATATTTAAATATTTGTTTTATGTGTTGGTTTGTATTTAATGAAAAATTATATTAATTATTATTTTTTGATTAATTTAAAAGGCTAAGCAAATGTCTTGAACATCAAATGCCACTTTAAGGAAAATTTTGTTCTAACAAATTTAAGGGTTTTTTTTCCTAATTTATCTTCAGATAAATGATAAAATGTGATAACCCTAATACAATTAAGATTGCTCTCCAAAGCAAGATAAGAGATACCATAAGAGGGAGCCACATAGGTTTAAAGAGAAATCTGATACTAGGGAAATTTCCAGAGATCTACAAGGATGACACCAACTAAATATGTAAGCAATAGTGGAGAGGCTACCTTAAATGCCCTTCCCCAAAAATGAGATTGATGACTACTTTATATGCCATCCTATAGAGCCTTCATCCAGTAGCTGATGGAAGCAGAAGCAGACCCACAGCTAACTGAACTCCTGGAATCCAGTTGCAGAGAGGGAGAATAGATGAGCAAAAGGGTTAATACTGGGATTGTGAAACCCACAGAAACAGCTGACCTGAGCTAGAGAGAATTAATGGACGCCAGACTGATAGCTGGGAAACCAGCATAGGACTGATCCAGACGCCCTGAAACTGGGTGTCAGTGAGGAGGCCTCGGCAATCTATGGGGCCTCTGGTAGTAGGTCAGTATTTATTCCTAGCAAAAGAATGGACTTTAGGAGCCAATTACACATAGAGGGATACCCTCCCAGCCTAGACACACAGGGGAGGGCCAAGGCCCTGACACAAATGGTATCTCAGACTTTGAAGATCCCCCATGGTAGGCCTCACCCTCCCAGGGAGCAGAAAGGGAATGGGATTGGGGGTAGTAGGGGGCAGGGGAGGAGGGGAGGGAGAGGGAACTCAGATTGGCATGTAAAACATGTTTGTTTATAATTTAAATAAAAAATAGAACATTTAAAAACTAAAATAAAAAGAATGCTCTCCAAAACTTAAGAAACATCTATAAGTAACAGAAATGGCAATATCAAAGGCATCTCCCACTTTTCTGTTTATTTCTCTGCCCATTCAGTAGAACTGAAATTTCCATCTAAAAAAAAACAGCATTGTTAAGAACCTAATGACTCACTAAAGTGTACATTTATGTTATTATACTAATTTTTGCTTCTTAAAGAAATACGTGTTCATGAATTATAACAGAATACTCATTAGCTCCATTTACAGTTTGTACTCTTGCTTTGGTGTAGACAGCCCTCTAATGAACTTTCATGGTTATATGATTATATCATTATTTTCTTGTTTTACATAATTTTATAATATTCCCGTATGCTGGTAGCCCATATTCCAAACAGGAGATCTCAGACATCATGTTCCTGCCTCTTATCTACCTAAACAGACCAATGCTAACCTACAGGAGCAGGAAAAGAAATTACTTTCGAGGGAAGACTTGAAAAGAGCAGTCAGGAAGAGGAGTGTCAGATTAAACAGTAGAATGGATTTGCTTGGTTTGTTTTTCTTTGTTTGAGACAGGGTTTCTCTGTTTAACAGCCCAGTATGTCCTAGAACTTGCTTTGTAGACCAGGATGTCCTTCAAACTCACAGGGATCCTTCTGCCTCTGCCTCCTGAGTGGTGTAATTAAAGGCATGCACCCACACACCCAGATTTACATCATAGAAGGGAACCAGATCATTCATGATTAACAGAAAACCTTTGTGTTTGGTGGGAGGAAGAAGGGAGAATACTAGGAGAGAATTGATAAAAAAAATCTGTGTGTAGACAGATATCAAGAGATAATTTAAAAAGTCACTAAAAATCAGTTGTGAAGGAGTATTAAATACAATGAGTAAAAGTAAAACTTAATTTATAAAGAAAAATTCTGAATTAAGTCTGAATGAATGGAACAGATACTTTGCAATCATATAAATATTTTTGCGAGATAAAATTATTTAAACACTATAATCTGGATAAAATAATCCCCCATACTATCTTTCCTATTATTCCCTCCTTATGAAGCAAACATCCAGTGACTATGATTTAGTGCCTTTATGATATTGCTAACTTCTTGGTAAAAATCTATAATTTAGCTCAAAATGAACTTCTTTAAATAAAAGGTTTATCTAGCCTTCAACTAGAACATAGAGAAATAAACACTTTTAATCCTGTCTATGATAACTCCTTGAAGAAACATACATGTGTGTGGGCATGTATATGTAAATTTTAAGAATTGAGAGTCAAGGAACTTGATGTTTCTGTCCAAACACTAGATGTTTCACTGCTCACTGTCTACAAAACCAGGTTGTCTGGGGTTTTTGTTTGTTTGTTTGTTATAGTACAGTTGTTATTATTTCTGTTATTTTAGTTACAGACAAATACATGAACCTGTGCCAGGCATGTGTCATTCAAACAACCCAGGGCTACTAGGAACTTTCAGAGATTCGTTCAGTAATATTGAATGTGCTTATTGGGTAATTTAGCATGCTTATTTACTTTATCACTGATAGCACACACTGCCTGGTTTCATATATGCTTATATATATTAGAAGCATATGTTTGTTGAAAAAAATCATTTCAAAGCTAAGCAAATGAGTGCTAAAGAACATTAGCACACTGGTGCCGGAGAGACGGCTCAACCATTAAGCTCACTTACTGGTCTTGCAGAGGACCTGAGTTCAGCTCTCAGCGCCCACATCAGGCAGCACACAACTGTCTGTAATTCCAGGTCCAGTGCCCTCTTCTCCCCTCAGCAAGGACACGAACTCAAACAGGTACAATTACAAATAAAAAATAATTTTTACTCCCCCATGTCCTCCTATCCTCTCCTCTTCGACGACTCTCTTTCTCCCAGCTTCCTCGAACCCCTCCACCATGCTCCCACTCCCCTCAGGAGATCCCATTCAGCATTCACTGGGGACTCGAGCAATAGATCAGTATTTATCCCTGGCATCCAATGGACTTTGGAAGCCCATTCTACATGGAGAGAGGCTCTCTCAGCCTGGACACATGGTCTAGGGCCTAGCTCCTGCTTGAGATGATATGACAGACTTTGGAGATCCCCCATGAAGGGCCTCACCCTGCCTGGAGAGTGGAGTTGGGGTTGGGTGGGGATTGGGAGGGTGTTGGGGGAGCGGGGGAGAAGGGGAGTAAGATGGAGCTGGAATTGAAATATGAAGCAAGCTTGTCTCTAATTTAAATAAAAAGAAAACAGGTTAAAAAATAATGTTTGAAAAAGATGAATGTGTAACACAGAAGAAGGAAAACAATCATTGTCTACCTAAGGACTTGTTATCAAGTTTCTTTTTAACAGAAACTATGTTGCTCTCTTTGGTATTCCCAGGCTTAAAGTCTTAGTAATTTTGTTCTTGGTGATTGCCTCTCCTCTGCCTTTTTGTTTTCATATTAGTAAAATAAAGTGTTAGATTGTTGGATACAACGCATACCAAAAAGCAAAGCAGAAAAAGGAAGAGAAATAACAGCGTACAGAAGGGAACTGAAGGGAAAGGAGCCACGGTTAACACCCAGGCAAACACTGACAAGGAAGAAACCTAAGATGCAAAAAGCTTAGCCTTGGCCATGTGCAAAAGACAGTGCCTCTATTCAAGAAAGCCCACAATGACATCCAGTCTCAGGCAGCCCTGACATGCTTTCTTTATGGTTTGAACACACAGCCGCCCCAACCCTTCCACCCCAACCCTCCCTTCCCAATGCTCTCCGGTCACCTGTTTTTTTGGTCCTGCCCGTTCACATCATGCTTCTTGTGTTCAAGGTACACCTTCAACTTCTCCACGTTGCCATCTGAAGCAGCTTTGTGAAGTTTCTTTGTGTGCTTCTCTCCACGGTGATGTCCCCTACCTGTGGACAGGCTGGAGGTGGTACCGGCCATGCTCATGGACAGATCAGAGAAATGGCTGTGGAACTTATCCATCTTGCGCTTTCCCCAGAAGCTGGAGAGCTTCTTCATGGTGATAAGGCCTTTAATCTCCTCTGAGATGTTCCTGGGACTCCTACTCAACAACCCTGGTCCTCTGCCCCAATCACCTCAACGTGCCCTCTCAACCTGACCAAATCGGGAGGTGTGTGAAGACCATTCACCTGGTTACATCCGGGGACCAAAGCAGATTTGGTTACCTAGAAACTGCTCAGGAATTCCACTGCGCACCCTCAGTCTTGATTGTGATCCAGTTCAACTAACTGACCAGATTCTTCACTTATGAGGAGAGAAATAGTCTATTTTCCATTAAGGGTAGATTTAACTGCCTCTACTCTCGTCAAGTGAGATTATAGGATAGAGGGGCTGGATCTCTGCCAGTGATAACTACACTTTGCATGGACACAGTTTGCATGCTACAGTTTGTCTTAAACAAAACCACCATCCCTGGATGATCTCACTATTAAACACGCTTGGTGAATATGCCTTT